TACTTAAGTTAAGCTCAATGCGGATGGCTCGCAGGATTCGAGGTTCCCAATCCAAGTCATGTGGTCCACGGGTCGATCTAAAAGAAAAGAGAAATATATTAGGTGTGCTCGGAACAGATCGGATCATAAAATGCTGGCTAGCTAGCTAACTCGGGCCAATCTCTGGTAGACTTCAACTTCGGTCACCTGGAAAGAGAAATATGTTAGTATGAGCTCTTTTAAAATAATATATTCTACCTACTACCAATATACATCAAAGGTTCGAATTTGGTTTTGTGGTTTTTATATAATTTTATTTTGACCTTCTGTTTTTACAACTATTTTTCAAAATATAATTTCTATAGATAAGTATTCATAATAAATGTTAAATTTCAATCAATTACTTGATTTACACACAAAAAACTGCAAAAAGACATAATATGTATATATATATATTTATATATTTTGTTCTAATACATTGTTTAGAATTGTTTTGTATTTTGTATTAAACTTCGTCTGCGAAAATATGTATTTAAAGTATTTACGTTTTAGTCGGATATTCAGATGTACAATCAATTTTACTAAGTTTATATAATGTGTTTAAATTTTACAATTTACAGTAAAATAACTTCCTTTTTTCACATATTGTTTATGATTTTTCATATATTTTATATATAAAATTTGTGAAAGCCAATTCCTACAAAGTTTATTTTGTAAGCCTCCGATTTAGATAAGTTTACATTTTTTTTTTTTTTTTTGAATCTGTCCTTTTTTCTGTGTTTTTCTTAAATAGGCTACGTCAATTTTATTTTCGGTTTCTATAAAAAACGAAATTTATGTGCACTTTTCTCCAAAAACGTTGAATTGCAGTTAAATTTCCAGGGATTTATTTAGATTGTTCTAGATAACTTTGCTGGGTATCAAGAATATTTTTTTTAGGTTTTATTGAATTTTTTTGAGAGCACGCACACAAACATACAGAATTATGTTTTAAATTGTACTTAATATTAATCTATGTTCCATTTTTATAGTTGCTTCTATATTCTTTGTGTTATTTCCATGAAAATACTTGCACATTGATTAAAGTTCCTTTTTCCATTTTGTCGACTGTTTTTGGGGCTTTGTTTTTTGTAATTTTGAAAATTACGATAATTCAAACGATAAACATAACCAATTATACTAAATGTGAAGACATAAAAGTTAAAGCCTAATGAAAATTAAATTGCGTGCACACAGTACGGAGTTAATGCTCCGTTTTCTTTTTTAGAAATGTATAGCTTTGTGAGAACCGAGGGAAATCGTCTTATAAACTTCTTAATAAAAATAATCAACAAATAAGAACTTTAAGATTAAATAGAGGGTACTACACGTTTCGTAGTAAAATGATATATAGAGTAGTGTGTTAAAATAATAATGAAACTGGTCTAAAACTTAAAAATGTTTGCTTCTCGACACTCAACGATTGTGTTGTACTCACACACTCCTGACCTCCTGACCTTCTGACCTCCTGACCTCCACTCAACTTTCGATCTTTAGATCTTGCGGCCTCGTTTGCTCTCCAGCTGCGGCTTCTCCGGATGATGTTTGCGCACATGGACCCCGAGATTGCCACGCTGCTTGGCCTTGTAACTGCAGTAGGGACACGGATGACACGGCTCCTTGCCACCGCACTCGACATTCTCGTGCCGGCGCAACGTGGACTTCCAGCGGTACTTCTTGCCACAATGACGGCACACATACCGCGACTCGGGATCATCGCAGGGACCCAGGGACGAATCGCTCAGCGACAGTTCGTAGGTCATCCCAGAGGGATCGTGCTCCGACTCCTCCTTCATGGGTCGCGTCGTGAGGATGGTGTAGCTCTTGCTCGAATCGTGCATGGCCAACTCCTCGGGTATGATCGTCTCCCCGCCATCCTCGTCCTGCAACTCGATGCTGTGATGATGGTGGTGCTGCTGCTCGTGCTGCTGCTGCTGGCCACTGCTGCTCTGCACCACCGTCTGGATGTGGTGCGTCTGCAGCTGGCCGGTGTGGATGTGGTGCGTCTGCTGGTCCTGATCGTGCTGGTGCACCGCCTGCAACTCCTGCGGTTCGATGGTGGTGATGTGCGTCTCGCCACCGGAGGTCTGCATGTGCTCCGTAATTTCCGAGGGTGCAAAACCAATGCCAATCTTGGTGCCGTCGGGCAGCTCGATGTCATCGATCTCGGCATACTTCACCAGGTCACTGATGATCGCCGCCGATGTGTTCGGATTGTTCAGATCGATCTCGCTAATCTCATACTTGGTGCCATCGGACAGCTCGTGATGCTGGTGCTGAATGGGCTCGTGCGTCTCCACAATCTGCAGATTCTGCACCGTCGAACCGATGATCTTGCCACGCGAGTACCGAATCCGCGAGGCAATCGGCTTTGTCTCCGCCAACTGCACGTTGCGCAGACCCACCAAATTGATCGTCTGGCCGGGATGCGCCGTGATAATGCTTTGTACTTGAGTGTGTGTGGGCTGCGCCGTCTGGATCTGGTGGTGGTGCTGCTGTTGCTGCTGATGGTGGTGCGACGTCTGCGGCACCTCCTCAATGTGAATCGTCTGGTGCTGCTGATGGTGCTCCTGGTGGTGCGGCTCCTGCGACACATGCTGGATGATCTGGTGCGGATGGATGATGGTCGAGCTCGTGTGCGCTTGATGTGTGGCAATCGTTGTGGTTGCCGGGATTATCTTCTTGATGTTGATAAGCTCTGGAATTGGAGGAGCAAAGAAAAGGGTTTGTTAGTTAAAATATAAACCAGTTTAATTAATAAATTCAGTCTACTCGCTTGTTAATAAAATTCAATATCTAACGACCTAATGCATTTATGAGTTACCTCTTTAAAGAAGGAAACCCCTTAGATATTAAATCAAAGTAGTTGAATAAGATTTTCTAAAATGTAAGATATAATTCTTTAAAAAAGAAACACATTAAATATTTAAGCAAATTAATTAACTAGGATTTCCTAAGCAATATGTATACCCTTTTAAACCAATACATTTTATTGGATTTCTGATTTGTAATTGACTAAATATTTTTACTGAATTTACTTTTTCTTTGGAAAGAATGTTCTTCTATTGTGACTTTACTCTTAATTAAATAGTATTAAATCGCATATTGCACTTAAGGTGCCTCATTGCAATTATAGATTCCAAGTTGATCTGAGTTATGGACTTACCGCATTCCGATGAGGGCAACTTGATGGGCGTGCTGGTCAGGGTGGTGAGCGTGGGCTTGGTTTCCGAGTGCGAAGCGGTGGCGGCGTTCAAGAGTTCCGTGATCGTGGGCGTGGGCTGGCCAGCTGGGCCAGTGACAGTGACTGCAGCAGTTGCCTGCTGTGCCGCCGCCTGATTCTCATCCAACTTGGTGGCCGTGATGTTGCTCAACTTCTTCACGTGCAGCACGAATCCATCTTTGTTCTGGGTGATCACGATGTCATTGCTCTCCAAGAGACAGTCGTCCAGTTCGAATTCATCCTGGGTTCCTTCGGTCTGTTCGCCTTTGTCCTGCTTGGAGGCTGCAGAGTTGAATGATTGAAGGTTAGTAAGAGTTTGGGATTTACAAATTTACCGCTTAGTGGAAGTAGTTAAGCTCAGCTCCTGTCACTAATCCTTTTGAACTCTTTTTATTTTTTTTATTACTTTTTTTGTAGCATCTTAACTTGGTAAAAACAAGCAAACAGTGTTTTCGTTTCCGTTTTAGTTCTTAAGCTAGGTTCTTAAATTTATGGATTTGTATATATAGATGTGTGTTGGTGGATTGTGTTTGCTGTACAGCACAATTAAATGAGAACCAAGGACAAACAAAATACCACAGCCAAAAAAAGGAATAAAAAACCGTGCCCCTAAAAAAGCTTAACTAACTTAACGCCTACAGAAGAATTCAATAATGACACGTTTCAATTTTGGTTACAAAAAGGCATTTTTTATTAACATTAGAAGGCGGCGGATCGGGTTTCTTTTTTTTTCTTTTCTCCCCCCTTGGAAAACTTACCTGACCGAGATCGGATTAGAAACTAGTTATTAAGGGTAATAAATCAAGGAACTTTGCCCCCAAGGGAAGATTCAAACAGACCACGGGCCAAAGCCCGGCCCAAAACAGGAACTCCCCGTCTATTTATGGGAACCTCGCCAGATGCCGATCCCAAACCCAATGAGGTGTCTCGAAAGTGCTCCGGATGCTGCTTCTTTACGTGCATATTAAGGGTGTGCTTATAACGCGCCACATAGGAACAATAGCGACACTTCTCCGTGGGCAGATGACCACACTCGTATCTCAAGTGCCTCGATAGGTTCTTCTTGTAGGTGTAGGCCTTCTCGCAACGTGGACAAATGTGCGAGTTATTCGAGGGGGAGACATTGTTCAGCGAGGTTACGGATTTCACGGATATCGTCCAGGCGTTCTCTAAAAAAGTTGCGAGAAAGAAACGAAATAGGTTAGAGAATTGGTCATCAGTTCAAAATGTGTTTCTTCTATGGGAGCGAAAACAAAAAAGTTAGACAAAAATCATATGGGGTCTGATGATGAATGCTATATGTATGATATATGTATGAATGGTTTTATATATTTTTTTTGTATAACCAACTACCAGTTCAATTGCACAGCGATAGAGAATTATTGTAGCAGAAAGTTACATCGGTAGCTAAAGGAGAGTTACGATCTAGAACTAAACAAAAAAGAGGAAACAAGTTGTCTTACCATTGCACATATTCTTTTTTAAATCATTTTTGTTTGTAAAATTAAAATAAGAAAGAGCTAAAGTATTTTTTTTTTCAGTTGAGGCAATGACTTGGCCCACAGTTGCAGGTAGTACCGTCTACTATGGCGTAACGGTAGCAATGGTTTAAGTTTTTTGTTTTAAACAAACCATTGACCTGACTCTTGACCCTTCGTCATAGTTGATCTGTAAGTATGAAAATTGATTAGTTCAGACAAACTCAACCTGGTAGGTAACCAAACCCCGATTTTCCCAAAAATAATAATTAATTGTCTTGTTTATTTTTTGGGGTTTCAACATTTCAATATCAATCTTTATTATTCTTGTTGTTTGTTTGTTTTGTTTTTTTCTGTTACCACTTTCTTCAAACAATGTGTATATAAACGATTCCATATATAATGCCATTTGTTCAGTTTTCGCAAAAATAACAATTTTTGGGGTTAAATGGTTTCTCGAAAAATTAAAACATAATCCCAAATGGTCTTAGCTTGGTTTTGGTTACATCAATTTTTGTTTTTATTTTTTGTTCATTGTTTAATCCTACCACTTGTTATTACAATTATTAATAATTATTAATTGGTTTTTGTTTTATTTCATGTTTTTTTTTAAGGTACTAACAATATCAGCTTCGTCAATGAAAGTTTTTCTTGCTTTTTCTCGGTTTACTTTTATTTATTATTCCTGTTGTATAAATTTGTTTCATAATTTCGCCTTTTCCGTGGTTTCGTTAACAATAAATATATGTATATATCATTTATCAATTTACTCGGTTTCATTGTTGTTAAATATTACGCTACAAAAAATAAACAACTTTCGTTACAATTAAACTTTCCTTCCGGTTGTTCTTGGTTGCTCTTGTTCTGGTAATTATTGTTTTTGGTTTGATTATATATATATATAATATATATATATATTCGTTAATCCTTTTAGACTGTTATGGCAATTTCTTTGTTCCAAATACACTTTTACTAAAACGTTTTCTTGTCTGTTTGCTGTTTTCGCTTTGTTCAGTTTTCGTCTAAAATATATATATATTGGTATATGTATATGTCCTTGTATATATGTGTGTATATATATATATTTTTGGTTGGTTTCTTTGGAGTATATTTTGTTCATTATTTTGTAACTTACATAGTTAACTCTAATTTTTTTTATGGTTTTTTTTCGCAAACGGTTTTCTGCTCTTAGTCAATAAATATTATTTAACAATATAACAAAAGTTAAAACATAAAGAGTTCTCTGGTTAAATTAATGTGAAACGATATATATTTGTATGTGTAATAATAATATTAAAACAGTGTTAAAACTAATTTAAAGAAAAACGATTTAACAAAAAAGTTACTTCGAAACATTCCATGTTTCATTCCCTTTATCTAAACTTTAACAGCGAAAAAATAATAATAATAATTTAGCTACTCGCAACAAGATCTTAGTAAATTAGTTCAACAAAAAACATAAATTATACAAGTAAAGCGAATAATTCTCAAATAAATTTCAACTAATTTGAAAGCATTATTTTCACTATTTTCTTCAAAAAGCTCCACAATTTGTCTTGTTCGCTTGGTTTTCTTTCTTTCGGGGGTTACAAAATGTTTCTTTAGACTATTCATTTCAAAAATTGACTTTGGCAAATAGCCGCACAAGACAAATTGTTAACAAACTTTTGAAGTATTGCACTTGTGGCAGAATTTTGTAAACAAATTGAATTAAATCAATCAAAAATTTGCCTTTGGTATTAGTTATTTGCGGGGGGAGGAGGTGAACATGTGCTAATTCCGACAGTTGACACTAAAATCAAATTACCGCCGACTAAAAGCTAAATTTAGTTGCCTGAATTAACGTATATCACTAACAAGTAATTAGTTTTCTTAGCCAAATAAGTCGATTGGATGTTTGATTTAGTGTCAAAGTCGGTCTTAAACTGCAGTTAGTACTTCACTATAATTGATTTTCATTCGTTTTTATCTTCCTTTATACTGTGTATAATTTGTCTAGTTCATTCGAGTTTATACAGTTTTTCTATTGCTGTTGGTTTCTCTGTATTCTGTATTCATATAATATTTGTTTATTGTACTGTCATATACATGTATTTTGCATATATGCGTAGGTTTATTATCTGCAACCCAAAGATTAACAATCAACAAGCAACAAACAATATATATCCTGCGCTCCTTTCTTCTTACTGCTTTCCTAACTAGAAATTATTTTTAGTTGCCTCCTTCTTAGGTTATATATATATGTATTCTCGTATAATTTCAATAATTTATCATTTATATATAATATATATATATATATATTAAAAATTTGTTTGATAATGGCACTCTCATAGCATTTAGTTGTCACTTTTGCCGTCAAAAATTTCGCTAAAATCAATTTTTGAACTAACAACGAAAATGTACTAAAAATTACACTTCTCAACAGAATCGTTTATCGTCTTCGAATGCAACAACAAATCATATTGGTTTACATATATATATCTATATGTGAGTATATTGTTCGATCTCTTCTATGGCTTCTTCCTCTCTAAAGCAGCATTGAATTTTTATTTTCAGTTTTGGTGGAGAATTTCTAATGGCACAAAATGTCTATTTCTTGTTTTTCTGGTACAAAATCTTTTAACCAATTGGCACACACACACACGCACAGGGATACGCACACCCACCCACACACACTCACACACTGTCACACCCATCCACTCATACATATATCTTTATATTTGGCGATGTGAGTATAATTTACCAACATCCTATCTTCTTTACTGACTTTAACAATTTCCTTTCCTTAATATCCTTTTTTGTTCAACAGACAACATTTTTGCTAATATAGCATTATATATAGTTCTATATGTGTATATTTTTATGTAGATGTGGTTGTTTCCTCATATGTATATGTTTTGTATATATGTATATAAACTCTTTTTACTATTTTCGTTCTTGGAACCATGTAACAAATCTTCCTGCAATCCCCATTTTATCCATCTGCCTCCGCTAAACATTCGCGATGCCTAACCAAAGTTGACTCTATGAGACTTAATGTGTGCTTTAACTGGTTGCATACAGTGAGACCTCACTGTGGTTACATGTTAGTTACTCCAAAAAGTTTCACTGTAGATAACCAGAGTGTGGTGTGGTTGGTGTGTCTGTCCTATGTTCCTGGCATAATAACAACTTAAACAATAACATATAGTTCTTTGTTTGTTTGATGATTTTCTTGCTCTGTTCTTATTGTTTTTGATGTCATCCACTCTCGCATTTCAGGTTTAGTTAATTTCGTGGTTGGTGTGGCATAACAAGAATTGTATTAATTATTATTATATTAGAAATATATAATAGATATATATTTGGCAACAAATAAACACAGTACGTTTTGTTATATGCATTTCTGTTTTTTTCTTTTTTTCTGTTTCTGTTTCTGTTCTCGCTTCCTGTCGGTTGTTATATATGCATTTCTCTCATTTGTTAATTTCACTAAGTTTTGCTTGGTTTAGTTTCTATATTATTTATATATTTTAACTAAAATTACGTAGTTTTGGTTAGTTTGACTAAAATTGTTTTGCTCTTAGCTTCCTTGCGTGTATGTTTTCTCTTTTTTGTTTTGTTTAATTTTTTAACTTTTGTTTTATTAACGTTTGTTTGTTGTTTGCCTCTCTGTTCTATTCCTTAGTTTAGTTTCTTTTTTTTTTTTTTTTGTTTTGTTGGTTTTCTTAGGTTTTTTAAATCTGGTTTTACATTTTACTAAAATCCTATAAAATGTTCACTGACTGCATTTAATATATATGTGTATATATTGTTGTTCTAGCTTGTTAAATATTTCGTTTTTCACTTGTTCTTTAACTAAGTATTCTGTTTGTTTCTTTAATGCTCAGTTTCAACAATAATTCTCATCATATATACTATATATATAGATTGGTTGGTTTTTGTTTTTTTTATCCATTTTCTTTATAAATGATGTGGCATCCAATAAATTCGTTTTGTTGTTTGTTATTTGTAATTGTTCTTGGTTTTATCTAATTGTTCTATATATCATTTTGTTCTTCTTGTTTGTTTGTTTGTTTGTTGTGTTGCTGTATTGTGTGTATGTGTAATATACGTGTATATAATCATGTTCATGTTCATCATTTTGATCATCAGTTGATCATCTGCCTATTGGGATAACGCTTATTCTATTTGATTTTAAAGAAAACATTATCTCATAAGTAATATTTGACACAGACACCGCTCTCAAGGTGTCGCTTTAGGTGGGAGCTTTGTGAAAATGCTTTGCCGCACATCAGACAGCGAAATTTTTTCTGTCCACCACATTCATATCTGGAGGGGAAGACATCGCATCAGATGGATGATATATAGATATAGACAGAGAGAAAGAGGGGGGGCAGAGAGAGACAGGTATCAGTATCACAGGTATATCATCAGACAGACCGACCAAAGATCGACAATTATAATTATAATCGATTATACTTCACTCACCTGATATGTCGTTGCAGCGAGCTGGCGTCCTTGTAGCTCTTCAGGCAATTGAATCTCGGGCACTGGTATCGTCCATCCGGATTGATAAACTTGAACAGATCGGAGAACTTTAGCTCGTACCAGTAGTCGCGGATCAGGGATTGCGCCGAACTGGCCGATGTGCCTCCAGGTGGCGGCGGAGTTTGGCTCGAGTTGGAGGCATAGCTGCTTGGAGCTACAAATTAGATGTTTAGCATTTTTTTTGTATATAGAAGGAGAAGAAAGAGAGATATATAACATCATGAGTCTCGGATTGTTCCATTTGATCAGTGAACTTCTTACACAACTAAAGCAGATATTTTTTTGATTTGAAAAAGTAACAAGATTTCAGTATAAAAAAACATTTCGAGAGTTCAAAAAAACAATTTTCTTTTTTAGATAGAATTTTGTAAAGTTAATCTTTGCATTGAGTATTTGTAAATTAAAATAGAAATAGTAATAAAGTGGTGATATTTACAGTTAGTGTGTGTTGCGGGGTGTTTTTGCTTGATTTTAAAATATTTGTATTTTGTGTGGGCGTGGCATGGTGAAGCGTGAGCAGAGCTAGCAGCAGTAGTTGCAGATTTGGCTTGGTTTTATTTATTTGCTGGGTTTGCTTTTTTTTTTTTTTTTTTTTTTTTTTTTGATTTTTTTGAATGAACGCTGTGGGATGATGACTGATCTTGACTGAAGATGATGCTTATGATGGTTGGTTGGTGATGCTTGATATGGGTCTGCAATGAAACATGTTTAGTAAACTGGACGGCAGAAAGACGTTAAGAAGAGAGCGACCCACTAGTTATACAAACGGTTTCTTGATCAATACAATTTTATTCGAGTTACAAAAATATCCATATATATATGCATATAAAAAATACTTAGTTATGGCTCTGACATATAAAAATAGTTGCTTTGTTTTTCGGTTATAAATATATAGTGGCTTAGATGACTAGCTAAATATCGTTCTCGCTTGTTATACTCGTGTGTTCACAAATTCGTTTCACATTTTTCAACGGCTCACAAAATTTATAGTTTTATAGTTAACTGCTTAAGACTCGGGCTTTAAGTTTCTTTGTTCTTTTTGTTTCTTTGGCTGCTCTGTAAATAAATGCTTGTTTTTATATTTGAACTATTTGTTTGCGGCTGTTTAGTTTTAGTTAATTGTTTGTTGTACTTGTACTGTTGGTTGCATTTCATTTGTATTCACTTGAGATCCTTGTCTATCAGTTAGTCATAATCCTAGCTAGCAAAGGAACTTAGATTGTACGAACTTAATCCACAAACGTTTAGTTAGTTAGTTAGTTGTTTTTTTTTTTTTTGGAATTTCGCTGATTTGGCATGGCCTCTCTTAACTACAAACTAGACTATATCGAAAAATGTTTCACTTTTTGGTCTTTTGGTATTTTGGTTTCTGGTTTTTCTTAGGAATGCAAAGTGTGCGGGGTCGTCGACCCCTAAAACTACTCTCAGTAGTTTAACCCCCTCCTCCCTGACTTAGTTTCGTTCACGTTTTCTCTTTGGACTTTTTGGCTTACTGAACTAACAACTAAAGACTACCAATTTGAAACTTAAATTAACTTAGGAAAAAAGCCAGACTAGCTGAAGCAAATTTATGATTGCGAAAAATTTGTTGTGCTTAACTTAAGTCTAAAATACGAATACGAATTTTAAATGAGAACCGAGGAACGGTCGACTGCAATGATTGGAATGCTAAGCAGGCAGCAGGTTGAGTGCGCATTTGTATATCATCTACATGAATTAACCAATTTTATGCAAATCGCGTTTACCATAATACAAAGTGAAAGCTGAAAATTTGCATTTATTTTGCTTTTCGATAAATAAAAAAGTTCCTGCGCGAGCTCAGTAGATCATTGCAGTCTGTCCTGGATGGTTGGCTTGTTTTTACCGGTTTTTCATTTATAAATACATAAACTGAATGTATAATAATACGTGCTCAGATGGCTAAAAAACTGAACTTCTTGGACTGGATTAGAGATGGATTTATAATAGTTGGTTATTCATCAGGGCCCTGCCCCTATGCGGTTGCCTCCCATTTGGTTTGGATGCCGGTGGAGGCCTGCATCTGAAAGGCCAGCGGCAGGAAGTCCTTTTTCATTTTGGCAAAGTGGGTCTTGATGTGCTTGGTCAGGTTGTCGCTCCTCTTGGCCGCATAATTGCAGCTGGGGCACTGGAAGATGGGTCTTTCGGTGGTGAAGCGGCACTCGAATCGTCGATGGCGACTGAGACTCTTGCGCGTTTTGTAGGACTTGCCGCACTGATCGCAGGCGTGCTGATACCAGGTTAGTACGAAATCTGCAATGTAGATGTGTGGGTGCGGGGCGGAGAAAGGAGAAAGGCACACGAACACGGATGGGTGAGTGAGTGGGTGAAAGTGATCGAGTTGAGTTGGTTGGTTGATTGATTGATTGATTGATTGATTGATTGTTGATATACAATGATTCGATTCCTGATCGTGTATGACTGACTGTATATATATTCATTTAATATCTGTCTGATATATGCTGCTTTACACATTTTTATTTCTGTACTTTTTGAGCAAGTCAAATTTGCTAAGCTACAAAAAATCAAGAAAAAAAATAATATAAAAAAAATATATTAAAACGAAATTCATAAATATTAAACGACTTAAAAAACATGTCAAGCATTCCAAAAACTATAATATTTAAACTATTTTGACGGGAAAATAAACAGGTACATATGTATATTTAAAACATCGAGATCGCTTAGAATTAGAAAAGTTCAGCCCATAATATAGGTATATATATTTGTAAAAAAAACCCAAGTGGAACCGCCTTAAAAACTAGAAAAACGTCTGTGTAAGAAAAAACATCAAGTGTTAAAGAATTTATTTTGGTTTTGCAAATATTTCATTGAAAGAGAGACACACAAATACATTATCAAATAGAGAAAGATTAAGACTAGGAAATGGAAAAAGCCACACAAAAAGCTTAAAGGACACACACGCTCAAACACAATCGCCAAAAGAACACACACGCATTTAGGCCACAAAAGCAGACACATGAGAGAACCCAAGCAAGGAAGTGAAAAATAGACACGAATTATGTTGAGAACATGCTGATAAGGCGATCCAGTGCGTTAAGGATCTCGAATGCAAATCAAACATTACATTAAATCCAGATAGGATTATTAATCCTGGAACCATTATAAAGCTTCATTAGATCCCGAAACGCACTGTATCGCACTGGAATGTACGTGTAGATCAAGTTGAAAACCCAGACAAAAACAATTCGAGGCGAGAGTTTACACAGAACAAAGATATATATCATAGAATATATATATAAAGAAATATATGTGGTATATAATACTGTAAGTGACAGACTTTTCTTTTGCCGGTCCGTTGCAGCAGACAGTTGAGTTTTCCAGGACAATACTCGGAGTACTTGGAGGAATCGGTCGGCCTCATAGATAGTAGTATGTGGATAGTAGGTAGTAGATATTTGGAGTAGTAGTGGTGGATGGAGTAGTGGGGTAGTACAACAGTTTTGTTTGTAGAGACATCTAAAAGAAATTTAGTAATAAAAATAGGTTAGTGAAAAATTCGCACAATTTTCGCACAACACAACAAAAAAAAAAAAAACGACAAAACTGAACGAGGGGAAAAATGGAGAACAGAAAAACAAACACGAAAACTAAAACATTGATGGAGGATGGTATGAACAAAAGATGATAATGCAAAATCGGATGACGATGATAAAGAATGGATCGGGAATGAGAACACAGGCGGGCTATAAAAAAAAAAATAAAATTTTCAATTGCTGAAAAGTGAATACATAAATATAGTTTTTCTTGCATTTGGTGTTTTTTCGTTATTTATTCAATTAAAAATATAATTTTCTCATTGTTTCGTTTGGACTTTGGATAAATTAGGCATTAACTTTAAGTATACATGCTACAAATGTATAATATAATAACTTAACTAGGTCATACAATTTGGTGGCATATCATTTGGAATAAGTGCATTACAATTATAATCTACCTCCATGGCTTCCTCTATTTCTTTCGAGAGGTAAGTTTGGTGGCTAGTTGAGTATTTTGTATTTTTTGGATTTGATCAAATTGAAATTACTCAACTTGTAGTAAAAGATTTGATATTCTCTCTTGACTTTTGGTTGGTTTTTTTTTTTTTGTTTGTTCGTTTTTGGTTTCATCTTATATGACTAACAAATAGTTTAGGTGCTGGACACTTTCTTGGATAAAGTAATCCCATCCCTGTCATGCAGCAAAAAAGTTCTTATAAAATTACAAATTCGTGACGGTTCAAGTTCGTTATCGTTCGATTTTTAGGAAAGTTTCGTTGGCTGACTCAACATTGTGATATTGACAAATTTTTTAAGACACATTTTGTCTAGCACGCGACTCACAAAAATTACAAAATTAAGATGATCTTTCGAAATGGAATGTCTACATTTGAGATTCTCGTACGGGGGCAATTACATATAGTAAAATGAAGGGGCGGGGTCGAAAACGTATGGATACAGTTATAAATATACGTAGAGCCTCGGCTCTTGACAAAATAAAATGAGAGATTCTTTGAGTTTTCAATAAATAAGATGTATATAAATATATAAATGTAGTAGCTATATAGTCGAAGGGGGATGTTGGGTTGGGTTGAGGTGCTGCTTAGTTATTGTTGTAAGCAAATGGCATCGTGTTCATCAGTCGCTCCTTGAGCAATGAATTCGATATGATCTGCAGGCCGAGCTTCATGTTCCACTCCTCGTTCATCAGGTGCTGCACCTTGCCGGGCGTCACCGGTTCCGGCTTGATCCCGAGTGCTGCTGCAGCCTCGGCTTGTGCGGCAACCAATGATGCCTCCGCATCATCGGCGTCCACCGCATGTCGATGTCCCGACGATTCGTTGTTGTTCTGGCCAGCCGCTGCTGCTGCTGCAGCTGCCGCCGCTGCCGCTTGCTCCTCAACGACGGCTGCTGCCGCCGAGATCGCTGTGATGGCACCCGTCAACCCGTAAGTGGTCATCGGCATTATGTGCGGCGGCAATGGGGAAGTGCATCGCGAACCGGGCAGATTCTCGTTCTCGTAGTTCTCCTTGCGCAGCGACAGATTCTCCGGTATGGGACTCTCGCAGCCGTTGTGCGATCCAGCACTGCCCACACTCGCCCCACAATCACCGACAGAGCCTCCAACGCTGCCACC